TCATTCTCAAAACACTGAGCTGCAAGATTAGAGAGGTGACAGAAATCAAAGGAAAGGGGACACCTTATGCTCCTGACCTGAGAAAGTAGCTGGCTTTTTCAGCTTGGGAAAGGGGGTGGGAGGGAAGCCAGGTGGAAAAGGGAACAATGAATAACCTATGGACCTTTATTTCTTCCTGATTCAATCTTCAGGAATCTTCCATTTCCATTTATACAACAGATCATAATAATCCTCCTCTGCTGGGTTGAGGATTAAACCCAGGGCCTTGCACATGCTATGCAAATGCTCTACCTCTGAACTACATCCCAGCCCTATAATCTATTATTACTTTTCCCAAGATTTTTTTTTTTTTTAATTAAAATACCCAGTCGGGCACTGTGGTACACACCTGTGATCCCAACTACTAGGAATTACAAGCATCAAAAATTCAAGGCCATTTTGGGCAATTTAACAAGCCCCTGTCTCAAAAAATAAAAAGGAATGGGGATGTAGCTCAGTGGATAGAGCACTTGCCTAGTACACCTAAGGCCCAGTTCAATCCCCATACCACCAAAAGTAAAAAATAAACACCAAAGTGCAAATCCTACAAAACCTGTCACCAATCAAGGTTCATAATTACAATGTTAAGGACCAGTTAACCAAGTTTTTCTGACCAGATTCCTCAAAATTGAAGGCTCAAAATAATAAAGAATTGTGATTCATCCTTCCAAAAGTCCAGTGCTTAGCCAAAAACTGAATTCAGAATTCTTGTTATCACCTCATATTCTTTTCTATAAATTACATCACTAGGTGTTCCTGTTATATTTGGCTTATTTATAAATTTCTATATTTTAATAAAGTAAAAAAATGATTTTCTGCCTCTAATTAAAAGTGTTCCCTTAAACTTTCATCTTATTCGTGCTAAAAACTTAATGACTTTTTTATGTTCTATTAAAGACCAAAATTACCTTTCAAGTCTGAGGTTAAGTCATTCTGTTCTGTTCTTTTGGGAACTCAGCTGACTTCCTTTTTTGGCAGGGATGGGTGTTCCAGGGATTGAACTCAGGGGCACTCAACCACTGAGCCACATTCCGGGCCCTATTTTGTATTTTATTTAGAGATAGGATCTCACTGAGTTGCTGAGGCTGGCTTTGAACAGGATCCTCCCGTCTCAGCCTCCCAAGCAGGCGTGCACCACCACACCCGGCTCTACTTCCTTTTTTAAAGGTACGTTCATCACAATTTTGTTTTGTCCTTTAAGACTTGTCATCTCCCAAGCTAGTTTCACAGTTTTCCAATTATTCACATTCTTACTTCAAAACTAAACACAGGACAATTTCACTGTTACTATTAATTACTATGAACTAAAAGAGGATAATGAAAACCTACATGAACCTAACGAAAGCCAGCCTCAGTAACTTTGTGAGACCCCAGCAATTTAATCAAGACCCTCTCAAAATAAAATTTAAAAAATAAATAAGTAAAGAAAGAAAGAAAGGGTTGAGAATGTAGCTCAGTGGCCCCTGGGAGTCAATCCTCAATACCAAAGGAAAAAACAAAAAATAATTAGTATTGTTTCCCATTCCTCAAGAATTCCAGTTGGGGAGGCATCTCTTTTCACTGGATCCTTATCCCTAAGATTCCCTTGGGGCTTATCATCATACCCTGAAACAAAGTAATTTTTAAAAATCACTACTACTCAGCCTTAAACAAGAGAGTTTAAATAGTTTATCAAAACAGAAGGAAAAAAAAGAATCTGGGAAAAAATAGAAGATCAAAAATAATAAGTTACAGAGAGGCAGGCCCTGGGTCCTACATAAATTATTCAAATTAAGTCCAATTTTAATCTGAAATTTCTCACAACTACAGAAAAAACTGAAGACAATCAACTGGTGATCTGCATTGTCTGGAAGGAAAGAGCAAATTGGTTTCTTAGGTGAGGTAAGGTTTTTCCTGAAATGAGTCTGAATAAAATTCCTCATTTGGGGGGCTGGGGATATAGCTCAGTTGGTAGAGTGCTGGCCCCACATGCACAAGGCCCTCGGTTTGATCTCCAGCACCACACACAAAAAAATTAAAAAAAAAAAAAAAATAGAATTCCTCATTTGGACAAAGCAATGTTTCTTGAACATCTTCACAAAAAGGAATTTAACTGTCTCAATAAAAAAGAGGAAAATGATGAGTTATCTCAAATTACATAGCTTAAAATCTTAAGCTTTTGAAAATTCCAGCTGGAGTAATAAAATAGTGACTCACTAAAACTAATGGCTATATCCAGTAACTATCAGCTGTAAACATCAAAGAAGTCCTAATATTTTCAATGTGGACTTGCAGTGGATACTTAGGCTTGGGTGAATTTTCTGGAAACAAAGAGGTGGCAAGCTCCTCTATTTCTGTATCTTATACATATTTTTATTGTTGCAGTAGTATCACTGTAATTAGATTTCTAAGATGAGTTCCACATCTGTCCTTTTGGTAACTAACCCCTAAGGACAATGCCTAGCACCGAAAATATACTCCTTAAATGTTCACTGAGTTAAATAATACTTATGTAAAGAAACCCTAAATCAGGAAAATACTTAAAGTATTACAACAGTAAATGACACCCTACTACTCCCACTAAAGGGAAACAAAAAGATTCAGAGTGTGAAACATCCCAGAGTGATGGCTCCAGAGTTCTGATTTTTCCACTGAAGTATGTGGTCCTTTCATAGTATTTTATATTATCCAGAACTGGTCCCAGAAATATCTGGACTGACTAAACACAAAGCCTAACTAATACATTAAAAACATACTTAACTGATCTGGGCTATTGGGGATGTCCATTTAAGAAGCTATGTAAGTCAGTGAAAACTTTTTTCTACGACAGCTTCTTGAAGAGAACTGGTTTTGATGAAAATCATTCTGAAGTATCACACACATTGCTGTAAACATTCTACAAAATACAACGGAAACATTGACATGAA